CACACCCCTCACACGTTTCGTGGCCCCATAGGGAGCTCCACCGAAGGCCCCAGTGGCTGCGCCCGCATGCGGTTCCACCCCCCATTCTGGCACACCCCTCACACGTTTCGTGGCCCCATAGGGAGCTCCACCGAAGGCCCCAGTGGCTGCGCCCGCATGCGGTTCCACCCCCCATTCTGGCACACCCCTCACACGTTTCGTGGCCCCATAGGGAGCTCCACCGAAGGCCCCAGTGGCTGCGCCCGCATGCGGTTCCACCCCCCATTCTGGCACACCCCTCACACGTTTCGTGGCCCCATAGGGAGCTCCACCGAAGGCCCCAGTGGCTGCGCCCGCATGCGGTTCCACCCCCCATTCTGGCACACCCCTCACACGTTTCGTGGCCCCATAGGGAGCTCCACCGAAGGCCCCAGTGGCTGCGCCCGCATGCGGTTCCACCCCCCATTCTGGCACACCCCTCACACGTTTCGTGGCCCCATAGGGAGCTCCACCGAAGGCCCCAGTGGCTGCGCCCGCATGCGGTTCCACCCCCCATTTCGGCACACCCCTCACACGCTTCGTGGGTGGCTCCATGGGGAGCTCCACCGAACGCCCCAGTGGCTGCGCTCGCATGTGGTTCCCCCCCCCATTTCGGCACACCCCTCACACGGTTCGTGGCCCCATAGAGAGCTCCACCGAAGGCCCCAGTGGCTGCGCTCGCATGCGGTTCCACCCCCTTTTTCGGCACGCCCTTCACACGTCTCGTGGCCCCATAGGAAGCTCCACCGAACGCCGCAGTGGCTGCGCTCGCATGCGGTTCCACCCCCCATTTCGGCACACCCCTCACACGCTTCGCGGCTCCATAGGGACCTCCACCGAAGGCCCCAGTGGCTGCGCTGGCATGCGGTTCCACACTCCATTCTGGCACACCCTCGCACGCTTCGTGGCCCCATAGGGGGCTCCACCAAAGGTCCCAGTGGCACTGCCCGCTTGCGTCCGCCACCACCCAGCACAGCCCTTGTTCCTTGCGCTTCACCCACCCAGAGCAGCGCTTCGTAGCCCTATAGGGGGCTCCACCAAAGGTCCCAGCGGCACCGCTCGCATGCGTCCGCCACCACCCTGCGCAGCCCTTGCTCCCTGCCTGCGTTTCACCCACCCAGTACAGCGCTTCGTGGCCCCATAGGGAGCTCCACCGAAGGTCCCAGTGGCACCGCTCGCATGCGTCCGCCACCACGCAGCACAGCCCTTGCTGACCGCGTCTCACCCACCCAGTACAGCGTTTCGTGGCCCCATAGGGAGCTCCACCGAAGGTCCCAGTGGCACCGCCCGCATGCGTCCGCCACCACCCAGCACAATTGCGGCATTCACAACTGCATATGGCTGGGTCCTTCGCCAGGCGAATTTTGAATTATAGCCGGAGTGCAGTATCCCCAAACAGGGTTTTTAGACCCACTGCGGTTTCCAAGGTCGATTGCGTGCCCGCCTAGTGCGGGCTGGCATGGCATGTTAAAACATGCCTCCTCCTCCTCCTCCTCCTCCTCCTCCTCCTCTTCATCCCGAAAGGCATCTCGGAACCCAGAGTTGCGAGGATGTCTCCAGCGTAACGGGCTGGACCACCTCGCGCGCGGCATTTCGGACCCCAGAGTTGCGACGATGTCTCGGGCGAAACGTGCTGCGAGGAAGTCTCAGGCGAAACGGACCGGACCACCTCGAGCGCGGCGTCTCAGAGCTCCGAGTTGCGGGGGCCTCCTGGTGCCTCCTGGGCCTCCTGGGGACCTCCTGGGGTTTCCTCCCGGGCCTCCTGTGGCCTCCTGAACTCCACCTGAGGTTTCCTGAAGCATCTTGGGGCTCCCAGGGGGGATATCTAACCTGTGGCCGTTTGGGCCTCTCCAAATATAGGGGGGGGCCACAGGAGCAGGAAAAATCAACGAATCGACACCGGATGTGTATTAACTTGACACGTTCTGATAGAGGGCCTCCTGGGGCCTCCTGGGAGCCTCCTGGGAATCTCCTGCGGACCCCTGGGGCCTGTCCTGGGCGTCCTGCGGCCTCCTGAAGCTCTCTGGGACCTCCCCCTCCTCCTGCCTGCTCCCTCATGCACATCATCCGCCTCCTCCTTCTCCCTTCCATCTCCTCCTCCTCCTCCTCCTCCTCCTCCTCCTCCTCCTCCTCCACCTCCTCTTCATCGCGAACGGCATTTCGGAGCCTAGAGTTGCGAGGATGTCTCCAGCGTAACGGGCTGGACCACCTCGCGCGCGGCATCTCGGACCCCAGAGTTGCGACGATGTCTCGGGCGAAACGTGCTGCGAGGAAGTCTCAGGCGAAACGGGCTGGACCACCTCGAGCGCGGCGTCTCAGAGCTCCGAGTTGCGGGGGCCTCCTGGTGCCTCCTGGGGCCTCCTGGGGACCTCCTGGAGCTTCCTCCTGGGCCTCCTGTGGCCTCGTGAACTCCACCTGGGGTTTCCTGAAGCCTCTTGGGGCTCCCAGGGGGGATATCTAACCTGTGGCCGTTTGGGCCTCTCCAAATGGAGGGGGGGGGGGCACAAGAGCAGGAAAAATCAACGAATCGACACCGGATGTGTATTAACTTGACACGTTCTGATAAGCGGCCTCCTGGGGCCTCCTGGGAGCCTCCTGGGAATCTCCTGGAGACCCCTGGGGCCTGTCCTGGGCGTCCTGCGGCCTCCTGGTGCCTCCTGGGCCTCCTGGGGACCTCCTGGAGCTTCCTCCTGGGCCTCCTGTGGCCTCCTGAACTCCACCTGAGGTTTCCTGAAGCATCTTGGGGCTCCCAGGGGGGATATCTAACCTGTGGCCGCTTGGGCCTCTCCAAATGGAGGGGGGGGCACAAGAGCAGGAAAAATCAACGAATCGACACCGGATGTGTATTAACTTGACACGTTCTGATAGAGGGCCTCCTGGGGCCTCCTGGGAATCTCCTGGGGGCCCCTGGGGCCTGTCCTGGGCGTCCTGCGGCCTCCTGGACCTCTCTGGGGCCTCCTGAGGCTCGCAGGGTCCCATGGAGGATATGTAACATGTGGCCTTCTGGGCCCCCAGGCTGGACCACCTCTTGCGCAGCATCTGAGAGCTCAGAGTTGCGAGAATATCTTGTGCGAAACAGGCCGGACCACCTTGCGCACGGCATCTCAGATCTCAGAGTTGCAAGGATTTCTCAGGCGAGACGGGCCGGACCACCTCGCGCAGGGCATCTCAGAGCTCAGAAGTTCGAGGATGTCTCAGGCGAAACGGGCCGGACCACCTCGCGCGCGGCATCGGGGAGATCAGAGTTTCGAGGATGTCTCAGGCGAAACGGGCCGGACCACCTCGCGCGCGGCATCTTGGAGCTCAGAGTTGCGAGGATGTCTCAGGCGAAACGGCCCGGACCACCTCTCGCGCGGCATCTGGGAGCTCAGAGTTTCGAGGATGTCTCAAGCGAAACGGCCCGGACCACCTCTCGCGCGGCCTCTCAGAGCTCAGATTTAGGAGGATGTCTCAGGCGAAACGCTCAATCCCGGACAACTCAGAAACGAGAGTTGTGAGGATGTCTCAGGCGAAACGGGCCGGACCACCACATTTGTTTGAGGATGTCTCTGCTTAGCTTTCCCTCGGCCGGAATTAGCTTCTATCACAACAGCACCCCGTTCAGCAAGCTGTTTGGGGAAAAAAATTATATATCCAAAATACGCCTTTAGGGGGGCATGCCCGACCTAACTCTACCATCCTTCCCACCCCTCCCCCCCCTCCTCATCTCTAGGCCTCCCAGACGGGGTCCGAGTAGAGGAGGTCGGAGGACCGCGCCGCATCGTTGATGCATCCGCGATGCGGCTCGATGTGGAGGCCGAATTATCTCCACGCCGACGACGCCGGTGCATCGCCGACGTTGCTGGTGCATCACCGATGCATCGCCGATACGGCACGGTCTTCCGACCCCATTTAGTCCGACCCCATCTAGGCGGCGTCCATTATCCTTCCCTCCTCCTTGCATTCAGCATCCTCCTAGCTCCGCTAAATTTGTTGCCCCGATGGCCTCAGCGACGGCGGCGCGCCCCCTCGCGCAGTTGCCTCCTCGCCGCCGCACCGCGGACGGGACCGCATCACAAAAGGTGCCAGCGACGCAAGCTCAGAGTCCCGATCAACCCACGACTCTGCAACGGATCCGACGACCTCAGCACTGCGAGCAGCTGCCGCCTCGCTAGTGCCCCATGGAATGTATCGCGCGAGGCGCGGTGCCACTCGGGAGCGACCGCCCCCGCGACCTGGTCCTTCGACTGCGCCAGCAGTGCTTGCAGAGGGCCCGCGCACGGACGAGCACGCCGACCAGAGCATGAGCAGACGATGCGCCACGTTCATTCGTCTTAACAGTTGGCAAACGCTACGCGGATGGAGGGCGGGCCGTTTCCAAGATGCGACTATACCGTCAGCGCCGCGCACATTGTTACACAGATGGAGGGCGGTTATTTTCTAAGTTCGGTCTCTTCGAGAATTCATAAGGCCTTATTACCATAAGTGATTCAGACATATGTCACAATAGCACGGCTTGAGGGCGATCACATTTCAAATCAGTGTTCTCGTTAAGCATATTCTTGAGTTTGACGTTCATACCTCTTCCCGGCTTTTGTCAGCTAGAAGGATGGCGGGCTTGCCTTTTCAAAACGACGTTCCCTTCTGCTGCCCATCCTGCTGTACCGATTATTCCTCCTTCGCCGCCTGCTGTTCCTGCTCCCGGTGCTGCTGAACAGCCTCCTCGTCCTCTCCCTCTCCATTCTCCTCCTCCTTACCCCCTTCCTGCGCAGAACTTCCTCCCTGTACTCCTCCTCCCTAACCCCATTTCCTGCGCAGGAGGAGAGGAGGAGGAGGAGGAGGAGGAGGAGGAGGAGGAGGAGGAGAAGGAGGAGGAGGAGGAGGAGGATACGCAAGGAGAAGGAGGAGAGCGGCAGGCGAAGGGAGGGAAGAAGAGGAGGAGAAGGGGGACGGGAGGTACAGCAGCGGGAGCGAGAGGCGCGTCCGCGGCACCATCCCGCCAGGGCGTCGTGGACGGGCGGCGCACGAGATCCATAGCGCACCTCGGCACCCTCGTCCACGGCGCGGTGTTCGGGGAGCTGGCGATGCTGGCGCAGCGGCACCTCCACGGCGTCATCGCATCCACCGTCTGCTGCATGTGGGAGGCGCCGGCGGCACGCAAAGGGCCGCAGGGCGACAGCGCGTGGCCCTCTAAGAGGGCAGGGGGGAGACCTCGTGCCATAGGATGGCTCTTCCCCCTCCCTCTTCCTCCTCCTCCTCCTCCTCCTCCTCCTCTCCTCCTCCCTCTCCTCCTCCTCCGTCCTCCCTCTCCCCCTCTCCTCCTCCTCCTCTCCTCCTCCTCCTCCCCTCCTCCTCCTCCTCCTCCTCCTCCTCTCCTCCTCCTCTCCTCCTCCTCCCCCTCCTCCTCCTCCTCCTCCTCCTCCTCCTCCTCCTCCTCCTCATGCTGCTAACCTCGATCGGCTAACCTCGATCGGCTCGCTGCTCGTGCCCGTCTTGAACGTGCTGGGGGGGAGGGAGTGCTCCAGCGTGAACGTCAGCATCTTCAGGCTATCGAGAGGAGGGCGAGGATATGGGCTCCGTTCGCTCGTCGTCTCACGTTTCGTGCTGTGCTTGCTGAGGGACAGAGGAAGGAGGAGGAACAAGACCGACATGCTGCTCTTGCATCTCATTGGGGACCGATCTTTTCCAGGAAACCTTGGCGGTGTAAAACTGCCAATGCATACTGTGACCGCTTCGTTCGCTCCGTCGACTTCGCCGACTGCCCGCCGCCGTCGTTCGCTTTGCTGAAGAAGGTGGCACGCTCAGTGGGCGACTCAGCTCCTGGAGTTGACCGCCTTTGTTATGCGTCTTGGCTGGCCCACCCGAGCGGTCTGCTACTGTTGCATGATTTACTGTGGTGGATGATGGCTGGTTACAGCATCCCCGCCGCCGAGAGTGTCACGCTGCAAGCCTTTTTCACCAAAGGGAGAGTCTAGCACAGATACGAGGGAGGGCGACTGTGAGAGAGAAGCTTCGTCGGTGCGTGTCCTTGGGCTTCGAAATACCAGTATCAAACTGGTCACGACCACTATGAACATGTCGATCAGAAAACCGCTCGCTCGATTCGCTCCTCAGGACCAACATGGTTTCATGAAGGGTAGGAACTTTTGCCAGAACATTTTAGAGGTTGACGCCCTCGCTCGTGTGCACTCTGCCCGTCCAGAGGCTGATGACCGTTGTCCAATGCTGTATGCCCTGGACTACGGCCACGGGTTCCCCAGCTTGTCCCAAGAATTCGTGGCTCTGGTGCTGAAGAAGATGGGGTGTCCGCTTGGGTTCCTGATGTTTGTCCAGACGCTGTATGGTTGCATCGAGGGAGTGATGTCGGTCCAGGGGGTTTTGGTTCATGCGTTCTGGATTCGTTCTGGGATTATCCAAGGATGTGTTTTTTCTGGGTCGCTCTTCGCGATTGCCCTCACCCCTGCCCTGCTCGATCTCAACCGCAGTGTCGAGGTCCCGCGGAAGGGTATCAACCGTGCTTGCGCTGACGACTTGGGTGGAGCTTTGTCGGACATCCGCCTGCTGCTGCAGGTTCGGCGGGTGATGAAAGTCGTGGAGGTGACCGCGCATCTCTGCCTCAAGCCTGCTAAATGTGTCCTGACCCCCGTCTCTGGTCCGTTTACGCCCGTGCTGAGAGACCAGGCCCAAAAGTTCCTGAACATGTTTGTCCCTGAGTGGTCCGAGTTCCGCATCGAAGCTAAACTGTTTTACCTGGGGATGTGGATTGGCCCTGCGACTGAGCTTACCGATTCCTGAAACCTTCCCCGCGAAAAATATCGAGCCCGTGCTGCTGCCATAGGTGCTGGCAATACCCCTGGATCCTCCTCTGTGGTCCTGCACTCGACACGTGCGGTCGCTGTCCTCAGCTATGGCATGCAGCTTGTTCCATGGCCGACAGCTATGAAGGACGCTGAGAAAGGTGCGCTGGCCCAGGCGTTCCGTCTTCCGCTCGGTGCATTCCGTGCTCGGGACTGGCCGTATCTGCAGGAATGGAATGCTCCGCGGGCTTGCCCGCGTGAGGTACTGAGTATTTCGACTCTCGCTCGGACGGCCCGATCGACGTTACCGCAGTATGAACGAATATACCGTTGGCTCTTGAGGATGACAGACACGCCCATGTCTAACGAGCTTGACGAGTGCCGCCTGACAGTGGTGCCAGCTGGACAGCGGTACCCTCGGCACTGGAAATGCCGAGCGTTCGTCGAATTCCTGCATGGTGCTGACCACGGAGTCGGAGGTCCTATGCACGCCGCTGCAGCTGCCGCATGCCGTGAAAACGTTCTGAGGCCCCAGAGGGCGGCGAAATTAGCTTGTACCCAGTGCTGGCCCCAGAGTAGCTTGAGCGAGTTGTACGAATCCCGTCTGCTGAAGTGGTGGCCCGAGCGGTCCGATGAAATCAAGGCCATCGACTGGCCCAGCATCCAGGGTGTCCTCCGTACGGTCCCCCCATCATGGGCGTGGTCGTGACATCGAACCTTGAGTGGAGCGTGGCTCACCCCCCACCGTGTTCTGAGTGATGGCGGCCGTAGGGGGTGCACTTTTGGCTGCGAGGGGGAGCCTGATCGTCAGATTCACTATGCCAGCCGCCCTCGCCTTGCCATGTCTGTCTCTACTGTGCTGCGTTATAGATGGCTCGCGTCAGACCCATTGGCCAGGTGGGGGATCCCGGTTTGCACCGTATCTGTTCTGCTGGAAGTGTTCACTGCATGTCACGTTTACCACTCTCTTCGTCACCTCCCGCCGTCTTCTCTCCTTGTTCCTCGTGTCAATCTTGATGCAGCAGCCGCAGCACTGCGGGAGCTGCACATCACGGCGCCGACCGCCACACAGGCGGGCCGCGCTGGGTAGGGCGGGACGTCGTCGTCGTCTTTGCACGCTTGCCTCCTCCTCCTCCTCCTCATCCTCCTGCTCCCTCTCCCTCCTTTTCCTCCTCCTCATCCTCCTCGTCCTCCTCCTCCTCGTCCCTCTTCTCATATCACGCCCTAAACGAGTGGACTCCGAAACTTGCTGCTAGCCGTTCGGCCCACGGGTGTAGCTGCTCGCTCGATGCCCAGCCACCAGGGGATTTTTCACCTCATCTGGAAGCGTACAGTCTTAGATCTTCCTCCTCCCCCTCCTCCCCCTCCTCCTCCTCCTCCTCCTCCTCCTCCTCCTCCTCCTCCTTCCCCTCGTCCTCCTCCTCCTCCTTTTCCTCCTCCTCCTCCTTCTCCTCCTCCTCCTCCTCTCATCAACTTCCTCCTCTCCTCCTCCTCCTCCTCCTCCTCCTCCTCCTCCTCCTCCTCCTCCTCCCCATGCTTCTCCTCATCCTCCTCCTCCTCTTCTTCCCTCTCCTCATCTTCCTTGTCCTCCTCATCCGCCTCCTCCTCCTCCTCCTCCTCCTCCTCCTCGTCCTCGTCCTCCTCCTCCCTGCGTCGCGTGTCCTGCTTGCCACTGCATTGTTGTTGGGAGCCCCAGCAAATGACGACGACCGACGACAAGCGAAGCTCTTCCTGGGAGATTGTTCTCTAGAGGGCAGGAGGGCGCCTGATAAGCGGGATGCCTTTTTTTCAGAAAGACGCCCTTTCTTAAATGCGTATACAGATGTGGATAACCATAACTACAGATACATATACATATACATATGTGAATGTATATATATATATATACACATACGTAACTAAATAGATTCGTACATGTATTACATGTATACACAATATTTGCATGTACGCATGGATATATAGCAATACAGACAGATGGGCAGACAGGCAGGCATACAGACATATACCTATAGATACACACATACATACATACATACATTGTCATGCATATACATGTATGTATAAATGTGTATGTGTGTATGTATGTACAGTATACACTTGCATGCAGTCGTATTTATGTGTTTGTATATATATATATATTAATACATGCATGTATACATGCATACAAACACGGATGAATATGTAGACATACATAGATACATACATATTGGCATGCATATGTACATGCATACATGCATGCATATATACATACATACGTATGCATGCATATATACATGCGTGCATGCATACATACACAAACATACACAAATGAGTAGATGTGCATGCATACAAGCGTACATGTGTACATACATGCGTGCATACAGACTTCATGCATGCATACATGCATGTATACATACATACATACATACCTGCATATATGCATGCAAGTGTGCATATACATATAGAGAGCAGTGTGCAAATCAATTCCTATAACTCTATAATTAAATAAATATTTTGAAAATGTAATTCCCCTCTGCTTGTATCTGCCCTTCTCAATTCAGCCCTCTGCCTGTCTCTTTTTCGCTCCGCCCCCGAGTTCCACCACTCGGAGTTCCAGATCTGGACCGGAGAAGGCTGGTAGTCGGCCAGCCCGAAAAGGGCTGGTAATCGTCGCAAATTGCGGAGGAAGTTCACGGCTTGGCATGCTCCTTGCCCCCGTCCTCCCCCTTCTTTCCCCGAATTGTGTAGCCTCGCTATTATTGTTTGCACGGGCATTGCGCGGTGATGTTTGCAGCCGCTTCTGGCCGACCCTGGGCTGGTTTAGCCGTCCGGGCTCGCCTTGTCAGCCGCTGCGGAGCAGCGTCGCGTTTGCCGGGCGCCGCAGTGCCCGCGTCCAGTTACAACATGAATGATTAGCGAGCACGTGCACCCAATATGTAATGTATCATGATTTCACTATTACGTTTCCCGCCTGCAGCGTGATAGGAATCCAGGTATTTGTTATCGCTTGCGGCTTGCTTGGGGCTTAACTTTCTTGTTGGCTTATTGTTGCTTGCTTTTGTGTGGGACGTTATGATACATGGTTTTTCAGGCCGTAGGGAATGCACACACACAATGTCTTTTTCCCTTTCCCCTCTTCCTCTGCCTCCCCCCTCTCTCCCCCCCCAAGTGACCAATGCTTGTTATTTCTGGCACGGGCCAGGGTTTTGCAGCCGACGCGCGCGCGTGACAGCCGTTTTTGGCGACCGCGCGGCCTACTCTCCCTCTTCGGCGGCCTTATGTTTCTTTATTATCCTTCGTGGTTGGTGCTTATCACGGTGGAGTTCCCTCAGAGGGTAAGCTGGTCATTATCATCGCCAGCGCGTTCGTTGTTTTCTGGATAGGAGTGTGTATATACACACCGAAACAGACAGCATACTTGTAAATTTCCGCACGTGGCAGAAATACGCATGCAGAAACGAGTGTAAATACATATGTGTATGTATAGAGAGAGAAGTATACATAAGTGTGCGCGTGCGTGCATATATGTATATATACATACATACATACAGACATACATACATACAAACAAACATACATACATATATATATATATATATATATATACACACATGCGCATTGGAAAGTAATAACAGCAACACCAACAACAGCAACAACAATGTTATTCCTGTTCGGTCGTATACGCTCGCGCGTTGTTCCACATGTATACCCCAAACCTTCGATACCAGCCCTCTTCGCCTTCGATCGCACCCGGTTGGACTAGACGGGCAGATCGATCGGGTGGACCCTAACGGGCTGGTCGGGAAGGCGGGCCCAGGCGGACGGGTCGAGCAGGCAGGATGTTGAAACGTGAGTCTTGCATGATTTGCAAGGAAGGTTTGAGCGATAGCGCGATTCCCAATTGCGTCGTGAAGCAGTCGCACGCGAAAGTGAGATTCCTGCATAAATTGTGAGGGGGTCCTAGTCAAGAGAGCGAGTTTGCATAAATAGCGGTTGCCATAAACCAGGGGCGAGCAGCACAATCTAACGCCCAAGAATTTCCCTTGTAACAAACACAGTGCGAGCCCCAGAAGGAGCGCTCCAATTGAAGAACACACTGCGCAGCGGAGGGGGAAGATTAACAAGAATTGTTACTTAGCTATGATAGTTCAACAAGAGCAACGACAACAACACGAGCAACATGCGTAATGTCAATAGTGTTCGTTCTGGTCTGCACGCATGTCAGTAATCATGTCCATCAACAACAAGATTTAGTTTGAGACTGTTCGCTCTTACTTGCTCGCCTGTCACTAAACATGTATATCCCGAACCCTCGGTATCCGCCCTCTTCGTCTTCGATCGCACCCCCTTGGGGGCATGCTTTCCTGACCTGCCCCATGTAGTTGGCGCAGCCTCTGAAACACGGGAAGGGAGAGAGGAGGGAAGGGACAAGGGGGAGGGAGAAGGAAGGAGCACAAGAGAGAGATTTGCAGGAGGCGCGCTAGGAGCAGGAAATTAAGCGGCAGAACCAGACGGGCGGGTCGGACGGGCGGGCGGACCCGAACGGGCTTTCCGAGCGGGCGGGACGCTGAAGTGTTATGAACCGCGGGGAAGTCTCGAGCGATAGCACGATTCCAAAGTACATCGTGAGGAAGTCCATAGCGAGAGCGTGATTCCTGAGTGTCGAGAGCGCGGCGCATCAATCAATTGCGAGGAAATCCCACGCGAGAGTGCGAGTTTGAATAAATTGTGGGGACGTATCAGGCGGGAGCCGCTGTTGTTGCAGCCCAGGGGCCACGGGCGCAGTCTGAGACTCAAGGTTTCCCTTGTGAGCAACATGGTGCGAGCCCGAGAGAGAGAGGGCGCCTCTGCAGGTGAGCTTCCCCATGGTGCGGGAAGTCCTGCAGGGGCACCCGGCGGAGCGGGCCGCCTTCCTGCACATGGTCGAGCAGCACTTGGACAAGCTCGGCAACCAGCAGGTGGGAGCGCGCGCGCGTGCGCGCCAGCAGGAACGTCATTTCGGCAGGTCTGGCGTATGGCGCTCGCTAGATTTTGCCACTGCTCGCTCCGGCCCGCCCCTTCACCCGGGAGAGCCAAGCCTTCGATCGAGCACGGTCGTCGGAAGCAAGTCTGCCAGTCGTTGTGGCGCGTCCCGTCCGTGCTTGCCAGTGGCTGGTGCACCGCTGCGGAGGAGAAAGCATACGCAATTCTGGTCGTCAGGGTGGCACGCGCAGAACCAAACCACGTCTGCCATGCAGCGCCTCCGAAGGCCTGCCAGCACGCTCGTGAGAGAGGGAGAGAGAGAGAGAGATGCCCGTGGTTTCGGCGCGTGTGGCAGCAAGTAGGTTGGCGATTGCCCGCTCTTCGCGGACTTCAGCCAGCATTTTCGCACGTTCATCGGCGTGAATTCCGAGAAGCATCTGTATTTCGCAGGCTCGGAGTGGGGCAGGGGAGTACGGAGAGGCGAGATGCGGAGGAGGAGAAAGAAGAGCAAACGACGACGAGAAGAAGAATGACAAGGAAGGCAGGACGAGGACAAGAACGAAGACGGGGCGCACGAGGAGGCCCGATAACGAGGAGATTGGATGCGATGTAGGAGGTGAAAGAGCCACAAAGAGGGGGATAAGGAGCAGACAGGTAGGTATGAGCACAGGGATGAGGACGACGACGAGGGCAAGGAGGAGGAGAACGACAACGACACACGGGGGAGGATGAGGAGAAGGGGAGGAAGGAGGGGGGGGCCGCAGCCAGCTGATCAGTCAGTGTGGAACGAAGCGGCCAGCGCTGAGCTGAGTCCCCCGGTCGTTCTACTTGATCGGGAATATGGATTTTTCTTGACGAATCAAACAGGACAGGAGGCAGGAGATCAGTGCAGAATGGATTGCCCGACGGCTTGCCAGAAAACCTCTGTAGCAGCTAAACCGCCTGGACACTTCGGAAGAGAACCAGAAGTTTGATTTGGGGGAGGCTTCTGATCAAGGTTCCAGGAGCTTTTTTTCTTCAGCAAAAAGCCACGGAAGCAAAACAGACGTAGCAATAGAAAACCGTGCACCACCAGCCGTGGAACTGGGAAAAAGATCAAACAGCGCACCAGTTTCTCGAAGCAGTGCCACAAGCTGGGCGAGACGCCAGCCAGAACAAGTGTTGCCAGTGCCCAAGCTCAGCCGCCAGGACATGCAGATGATACCCACGACGTTCTCAATCGAGCTAAGGAGGTATTGACCAAAGTTTCCATAGTAGCCATGCAGGAGAGGCGTGATGGTTTTGCTCCTCACAAAGAGCTTCAATGACGGAGCCGGCTGCGCCAAAAGATTTATCCAAAACATATGAAGAAGAAGAAGAAGGTGACAGTTTGGTTGTGGAGCTAAGCCGAGACGGTCTGGAAATGATAGAGACCAGCAAGATAATGAACGTAAAACATACTCGGCGGGCCACCCTCTGGGGAGGCACGGCGTGTTCCCGGAAGCAGCGTTTTCTTGGAATGGCGCTAGGCTCGAAGATGTTACGCTCAAGGGGATCGGCGCGATAAGCCGCTCCCCGAGCTGACCGCATCCATGGTGCAGAAAGGCGCGATTCATGTGGATAACATGCTGGGTTAGGGGTTGGTTTGTGGAATCCCAGGGAACGGTTGGCATGACCAGAGCAAGGCCAGCAACAACTCTTGGAACGCCTGGACATTCTAGAACGAGACCTGGCCCGATCGCAGCTGACGTTGGTATGCATCGTGGTTCTGACCCCGGAGTCACCACCTGGAGCAGATAGGCCGACCACATTGACTTCAGGACCGTACAGACTCTGGAGCGCAACTCTGCAACAGCCTATCATGAGGCGTGAAAAATTGCAAGCGAGGGAAAGCAGCTGGCTACGATCAGAAGTATCACGACAAATAAAGGCAGAAACGTGTGGACTCTTGGAGTCTGCAGGGCCAAGGTTCTTTGGGCTGCCAAGCTGCTTTGTGACATCATACATCCAGGAACACCAGCAGGCTTTAAAAAGCAGCATCGGTAGCCGTTGGTCCCGTCTTTTTGGCGCTCATTTGAGCATGTGGCAGACCGTTGGCTTTCAGCTGGGTGCCTCTTGTTAGACAGCGCGCATCCGCGAGCTTCAATCATTGCAGGAACCATGTAGGGCTGGGTTTGGGCAAGAATCTGCACTTGGGAAATGCTGGATAACACTCACAGAGCACACCCATCGCCACATGATCAGGTCAACGGCTGGGTCGATGATCTAGCACAGCAAAAGATTGGAAGCATGGCAGCAGTCTTCGATCAGGCCACCACCGCCTCGATCGCCAGCGAGCAGCATGACGTCGAAGGGCGCCTGATAATTTGTTGCAGGGCCAGTCGGATTAGCAAGATCGGCCGGTCTGAGATTGGTACCCAAGAATCGGGAGCCTCGAGACGGGGGTCAGTGCAGACGGGGGTCAGCCAGAGCGCCGGATTTTGCAGGATCCTGCAGCGCCAGGGTCGCATTGACCCGGGTTTGGGTGCAGGATCCCGCAGGATCCTGCAGGATCCTTCGCGTTGACCCGGGTTTGGGCGCAGGATCTTGCAGGATTTTGCAGGCTTGATTGACCCGGGTCTGGATTGACCCGGGTCAGAAGGTCCCCGAAAGAAGAACATCAAGCAGCTCCCGTCGCCGGTCGGAGTGGAAGCGCGAGCCCGTGGCAGCCCGGAGCTCGCGCTGCCACCGCTGCAGGGGACGCAGAGGGGGCGGTCCAAGAGGAGCAGGGCCTCCCCGAGGGCCCGAGCCACGAAGCCTCTTTGCGAAGACGGCCCGGGCGGGCCAGAGCTCGCCAAGACTGCACGAGCTTCCTCCTCCTCCTCCTCCTCCTCCTCCTCCTCCTCCTCCTCCTCCTCTCTCCTCCTCCTCCTCGCCGCCTCCTCCTCCTCTCCTCCTCCTCCTCCTCCTCCTCCTCCTCTCCTCCTCCTCCTCCTCATCCTCCTCCGCCTCCTCCTCCCCCTCCTCCTCCTCCTCCTGCTCCTCCTCCTCCTTCTCCTCCTCCTCCTCCTGCCTCAAGCCAGTTTGGGCGGCGTGGCCATGAGCCATACGCCCGCAACTCCAACAGAGCTGAGAGGCCAGGTTTCGGAGCTGCGCGGTTGCAGGTGCGCTGATTTCGGTCACCACGGCCACTTTGAACACGTCGAGGCAAGCACGGTGAGTCTCTCCGCAGGGACCTTGAGTCCTTCTGAAGGCCTGAGAGGAACATCTCCCCAGGATCGCACCGCGGCGATCAGCGTTGTTTCGCGCTCCGCAGGAGTCATTGCACAAGATCGGGAGCCTTGACAATCAGTGGTTGCGAGTCAAGGAGCACTTGGCGGTTGCCCAGGCCATATTTTCGGATGTGAGTTGGGAGCCCAACGCACAAGGGGAATGGACCTTGCGGAGAGATGTTCAGCTTGGAAAGCGAAGAAGGGCGAGGCAGGCGCCACTTCCAAGTGAGATCAGCTTTACAGCAAAGCTTCTGGGCTCCAGCCAGCCACCGCGCGGAGGGTTGTGGCGTTGAGTTCGGGGCTGACCCCGCTGCGACTTGGGGCCATCTCAGGAGCCTTCGGAATGATAGTTTTGAACATATGGTTTTGAAGTCTTTACAGATTGAGTACAAAGGAAAAACAAAAATGTCCACCACGGGGCCCCGTGGCCCGATCAGAGAACACCGCGGACACACACAGACACACACACACATACACACACACGCGCGCGCGCGCACACACGCACACACACACACACACACACACACACACACACACACACACGCGCGCGCGCGCACACACACACAGACACACAGCTAGATCCACCCACCAGCGCACATGGGGCGTGGAGCCTCTCCGGAGAGCCTGCACCGTCAGATGCGGGAGCGCGCCGGTGCGATTCGTCGACCCCCGATCTGAAGGCAGACGAAGCCCTGCGCGAGCGAGCGCAGGCACGGGCGCAGACGCACCCGCGTTTCTGGGCTGAGTGCCAACACCATGGACCACGGCAGATGCGGACACCCTCCTGTTTGCAATGGGTGGCGCATCGCGCCGAAGCGTGGCGGGCAAGAACTGGCGGAGCGACGCGCTATCCAGGAGCTTCCGAGCGTCTGCTTTTCTTGTTGGTGGCCCAGAGATCCGACGTCTTGATTCGTTCCATGCGGGGCCCCCCGACCCCTCCACCACTTCCCCAGGACCGACTCTTCATCCCGGATCGTTTTCCGACGGCCCCAGGGCCCGGCGAGGGCCTTGGGAGGCCAGGAAAGGCGACGCCAAATCCGTTTTCATTTCTTCTGCACGTCGGATCTCTTGAGCGACGCGCGACGCCGAAGTTCCCGACCGCAATCCCATGCTCCCCTGGACAGCGCAGAGCCCAGCTTCGACAACCTCCCGCCGCACGAAGCGCGAGGCTCCCGTTTTCTTCGCGCCGTTGCGCCATCTCCTGGACCCATGCCCCCGACGTCGTCATTTCTTGGAAAGGGCCACGACGGAGGCAGAGTGACCAGAGCTTGTTCCACATGCTAGTTACCAACGCACGCAGCAATAGGCAGCGTAACGGATTGGGAAAGCACTCCCGAGATATTCGCTTTTCGCGCGGGCCAACTTGGATGAGAATCTGCGATTTGCCAGTTGACCGTGGCCTTACTCAGAGGTGCCATGGCAGAAGGGCTTGGACGCCCCAGAGAAATTTGCCAGAGCAAGTCATGATTGTCAAGGCCACGAGCCATTTTGACCGCTCGATGACCGGCGTGGAGATCGATGCCAAGCATTGCTGTGCGAATGGCCAGGCTTCTTGGCTTGCAGATCTGGCTGTCGACGAGGCAGCACCGCCTTGTGCCTCAGTAGGGCAGGTTCGGGACGCGGACGAGTTATCTTGGCGATTCCAGACACATTGAATGCCCGCGCCAGAGCTGGCCGCGTGGCCCCAGAATTTACATGGGACAAGCTTGCAAAGAGTGCCTTGGCCTGTTCCATGACCAAAGCCACGGCCAACACTGCCCAGCTGCTCGCGCGTCTTTTTTTGGAGCCCAGCAGTGCCTCGCTAAAAACGATGGACGTGCAAGACTTGCCCCGGCCCCCGGGGGGCGCCTGCCCAGGACGACCAGTTCAATTCCACCGCCCCCACAGCCCACAGGCTCGAAGATCGCACGGGGCCTCGGCTTCGGCGCGCGGCCACGGGGGGGGGGAGAAGCTCCCTCGCCCGGCGGCGCCCCGCGCGCCCGGAACACTTCCTGCGGAGACGGGGCGATCCCTTTGAATCGCCGCCGACAGCGGGCCGGTGTCGGGCCGGGCGAAAGGGGGGGATTGGGAAAGGGGGGGGGTACGAAATCTGCTGCATGCAGCTGGTTTCGGCCTCACCGAGGGGCCCATTCCTCGATACATGGCCGCTTCCAGCGCCGGGAGGCGCCGGGAAAATCAGCGACGTGAGCTGGTTCTCAAACCCCCCCTTTGCTATCCCCCCCTTTCGCCCGACCCGACAGCGCCCAGGAGCGCGCGGAAGGGCATCGAGAAGCTCGCAGCTTGGGCCCTGCCGTGCCCACGCGGCCTTCGCCGCCCAGGCCGCCGCGCCGCGCCGGCGCGGACCGGGCCCCGCCGCCGCGCGGCCCAGGGCCGTGCGAGGCGAGGGTGGCCGCTGGACACCCCGCCGCGGGCTCTTCAAGAGGCACGGTGGTGAGCTTTACAGTGGAAGCCCATGCCAAGAAGCGCCCCGCTTGCCTCCAGGGTGCCGCGGTCTCCTGGGTGTCGACGGTTTCGCGATGGAATGCGCGGCGCTCCCGCACCAAAAGTCAGTGGACGTCCTGGGGTCTCAGGGTTCTTGTGGAAGGTGTGTCGTGGTCGAACCCCTACTGTGTGGTCGCGCATCAGGTTCCTGCGCAAGAAGGTGGGGAAGGGAGGCGCATAGTTTTTCTGCGCGTGCACAGCAGCTGTGTTTTATTCACGCCTGTAGGTATGGAGCTAGCTGTGCCCTTGGATCTGCGCCCTGGTCTGTGCCGTGTCCTCTTCCCTTGGGGGCAGGTCACTGGGTGGTTACTTTCGCGCGGCCTTTCGCCCTTTGTTCACATGCGCCGTGTGCTGCCAACTCGGGTCCATTGGCGGCTTGCCCGACGTTGCACCAATTGCTCCGCAAGCGTTGGTGTTGGTTCATCCTAGGCAGATCAGGATGTGTTCTGCTGCAGGTTCTGCCCTGCCGCAGCCGAGCGGTGAGGACGGTTCGCGTGTCCTCGTATACCCCGCTTATTTTTACACGGAGATAGTTGTATGGCCTGAGGATGAGGGAATGAAATCGGGCGAGGAGGAAGGTGAAAGGAAGGAGGCGAGAGGAGGAGGGAGGATAAGAGAGGAGGTGCGAGGAGGAGGAGGAGGAGGAGGAGGAGGAGGAGAAGGAGGGAGGAGGAGGAGGGAGGAGGAGGAGGAGTATGCAGGAGGAGGAGGGAGAAAAGACGGAAGGGGAGGGAGGACGGAGAATGGCAGGAGATGGAGGGAGGTAGGAAGCAAGAGGCGTGATGAGGGAAGGGGGAAGGAAGGGGGAGTTGGAAGGTAGATGGATGAGAGAGTGAAGGGCGAGGAAGGGTGAGGGAGGAGGGGGAGGGAGGAGGGAGCAGGGAAGAAGGAGTGTGGAGGAGAAGCCCCTCCCCATCAATCCCTGCCCCGCACCCTCTCTTCTCGTCGTTCCTCATATTCCTCCTTCCTCCTCTTCCTCCCGCCTTCCCACTCACACCCCAGAAGCACCAACAACTACCGAGCACTCGTTCACACCTGAAAACGGCATCTCCCCACTCCTTCCCCCCACTGCGGAAACCCGTAGAGACATCCGCGGGTCTTCAGAAATTTCTGACAGCCTTTCCAAAACCCAGGAAGTTGCTTAAACTGGCCAGAATTTCAGACAAACTTTACTTCCTCGCCTTCATCGTCTCTTTCCCTCTCCCCCTCTTTATCCCCCCCCCCACACACACACACACACTCCTCCCCATCCCTCCCCATCTGCTCCTCCGCATTAGCGTGTCCAGCCCCTATCCCGATGTGTTCTCGCCCCTTGTTTGATTCTCCTCCTCCTCATCCTCCCTCCCGCCTCCTGTCCTCTCTCCTCCGCAATCCTCGGTCCTTCCTCCATAATCTCATCCCCACTCTTTATTCCCCCGCAGACCTCCGACGTCATGTTTTATGCACATGCCTTCGGAGCTCTCGACCCTTTCTCCCGAGGACTGAATGAGGCGTCCTGGATCGTTTGTTGCACCGCTCCGGGATACGAAACCGGCCCCCTGAGATCCAAACTGGGGAAACAACATGTCGGGCATTGTTTGTCCCTTCCTCCTCCCCACTCCCAGATGTCAGACGACTCGGTGTTTGCGAGTTGCCGGCCTTCCGAATCTCGACCCTTTCCTCAGGACCAGGTGTTCGTCCTGGATCGGGTTCTGACGGCCCCAAAAAGTGATGAAGATTCGATCCGTAGCCATTTTGGCTCAAGATTGACTCGAGGTCCCGAGCTGGTCTGCGCTTTTCGGAGGATCAGTCAACCCCACGATCAAGCAGGGGAGATGTGCAGCCCGACTCTGCCTGCCTTCAGCTGCCTATTGTCGTACGCCTTTGTTTCGGCAGCGCACTTGACTGCCCGAGAGAGCGTGCCCCTCAGCAGCGACGCAGCAGGCGACTGTGTGTTCATGCAGCGTGCTGCCCACCTCCAAGCGGGCACCACTGGGGCTTTGCGAGGGAATGATTGCGACGAAGCGTCATGGCCAGATAAGGACCACAATCTGGTTTGCGGTGAGTGCAAAGTGCTGGTCGATCGATTCAGCTCCTTCTACAAGACGTGCTCAGGATACTGTGCCTCTATCGGGCGGCGGTGCACAGGTGCTTGGGAGGAGCAGAACGACGACTGCGCAGTACAACGTGGTCTGACATGTGATGAGAGCATCGCTTCCAGCGATGCAATCTGTGAATGTGGCGCAGAAGCCGCAGCGGTTGGCGATATTTGCTATGGCGAGTTTCCAGAGCTGGCAGTCGAGGAGGGCAGCACGGTCGGCGAGCAGCTGAGTTCAGCGTCCCTGGCGGAGTGCGAGGCGGCATGCGATGGCAATTCGGCCTGCAACAGTTTCTCCCTGTGCCCGCAGTGGGGCTGCTGGATGAAGGACCAGAGCTTCTCTGGCTCAGAGAGCACCAAGTCACACTACGGCTGCCAGACCTACTACAAGAAAGCCTGCACAGGCGCAGGCACGCCAGATCCCACGCCGTCTCCGACTCCCGCGGCCACTGCAGAACAGTACTGCTTCGGCGAGCTGCCCCATCTGGCAGTGGAGGAAGGCAACACTGTTGGCGAGCAGGTGTACACCGCGTCCGCGACGGAGTGCCAACGGGCCTGTGACAACAATCCGGCATGCAACAGCTTCTCGCTCTGCCCACAGTGGGGCTGCTGGATGAAGGACAAGAGTTTCTCTGGCAACGAGGCCACGAAGGAGTTCTATGACTGCCAGACGTACTACAAGACGCGGCAGTGCGACAACAGCAGCAGTGGTGGTGGCGTTCCGATGCCCACATCTGCTCCAACCACCCCGAGCATTTTGGCGACCGTGAAGGTCATGAGCTACAACACGGAGTATGTCGGCTATCCCAGCCGGGTCAGCCAGTACGGAGCCAAGGTCAGAGAAGTGGGCGCAGTTGTCGTGGGTACCCAGGAATGCCAGGACAAGCTTGCCCTGTCCAACGCCGCTGGCTACAGCGTGGTGCCAGGCACGGGCTTCCAGAACCCGATCCTGTACAATTCTGGCAAAGTGTCTTACGTTGAAGGCACGGGCGGCTACATGCAGATCCCCAACGACAACTACGCCGAGAGAACGGTGACGTGGGCCCAGTTCCGGACCGGAGGCGCCGCCTGGTGGTTCTTCAACACGCACTTGCCGCACCCCCACGGCGCCGCTGCATCTCGGAACACGCACGCGGGGATTGCGAACATGGTCCTGCAGAAGAGGAGGGAGTTGGGCGCCGGGGATTCGGCCACGGTGGTCACGGGCGACATGAACCCCTTCGCGTCGAGCGGGGCCTCGGAAGGCAGCTTCGAGAGCAACCTCGTGGCGGGGGGCTTCCTCAAGGCGTACCAGGGGCGCGGCAACCCCGGGTACGGGGGGCTCGACAAGATCTTCGCGTCTTCGGCGCATTGGGCTGCCTCGAACGGCGCAGACCACGGGACCGGAGGCAGCGACCACCCCGCGATCGCCGTGGATTTGACGCTCAAGGCGTGAATCAAGCTTGGCCTCGCGAGTTTGCTGGCCGCTCTGCAAACACTCACAAGCTCAGTGCGACGACTATCCATGAAGGGCTAGTTCGGCATCACGTTTCCCTGTCGTAACAGTCTCGCCACGCAGCATCAGCCATGCCTCAGTTTTGCGATCACCCGTTTTCAGAACGCGGTCGAGGTCTTTCCAGGCAGCAGCCGCGTTCTTCTGCCTGCTGCATGGGGAGCGCTGCTGCTCCGTACAGGGCGCAGCAGCGGCCTCAGCCGCGCAAACCGAGCGTTCCCGCTCGGCCATTCCGTGATGGAGGCGGCCGATGCTACAGAGCGCGTGGGCATTTGCAGTGTTGTGCACAGCGCCTAGGCGACCGATTGCAAGTGATCACGTGCGCTCACGCCGCGAACGCAGGCAAAGGGGATCAACAAAAAAAAAGTGATGAAGATTCGATCGCCAATCGTTAGTCCATGCAACTATTCCCCCCTCCCCAGCCCGAGATCTCCAGGAGTCTTTGGGAGGCCTGCAGGGGCATCTGAAAGCCCAAAGATACCAACAACATGTTCTTAACCCACGATCCTCCCCCAGTAACCTCCTCTTCTTCCCCCTCCTCCTCCTCCTCCTCCTCCTCCTCCTCCTCCTCCTCCTCCTCCTCCTCGTCGGCATCATCATCATCTTGTCTTTGGGGCTTCGGGGGTACGCACAGCCAGGCCCCAGGGCATAGGCGGAAAGGTTGGTTGCCTTGCGTGGTTCTTGCTGGCCTCAGACGGCAGGGGCCTAGCGGGGCGGGCGTCCAGTCTGGGCGTCGGGCGATCCGTCTTCGTCGCCAGTTGCGCTGAGGTTCACTCGCGCAGCCTTCCTGGTCGCTGGGCATCGCGCTTGCAGGTGGTGGCCCAGCGCGCTTGACACGGCGTTGGCTCACTGCGCAGCGTCCGCAGGGGGATGGATCATCATCACAATCATCATCAGCATCATCATCATCACCATCATCATCAGTATCAGCATCATCATCAGCCTCAGCATCAGCATCCTCATAATCATCATCAACAACATCATCAGAATCGTCATCATCATCGTCGTCAACATCATCGTCACCATCAACATCATCATCATCAGCATCATCAGCATCATCATCAGCAGCAGCATCCTCGTCATCATCCTAATCGTCGTCGTCGTCATAAACATCATGAGCATAGTCGTCAACAGCATCATCATAAGCCGTGTCAGTATCAGTATCGTTGATACCATCAACAACAACATGATACTAAGCATCACCATCAGCCTCATCATCGTCGCCATCAACAACAACAACAACAACAGCAGCAACAACAACAACGTCACCGTCATCAACAAGAACATAATAAACATGGCCATTGTCGTCGTTGCCATCATCTTCATCATCATCATCATCATCATCATCATCATCATCATCATCATCATCATCATTCCCTACCTAGGCTCTGCCTAGAAGGGTTCTTACTCTCTGGGCTTAAAGGGGCCAGGCAGTGGAAAGCGCCCCGGGCGGTTCCCCCAGTATCCGCCCCGCGGTTCCCCCAGTTGCGCCCCCTGGGTTCACCCAGTTTAGCTTAGCTTAGCTTAGCTTATCTCATCTTAGCTCAGCTTAGCTTAGTTTAGCTTAGCTTTGCCTAGCCTAGTTTAGCTTAGCTTAGCGTAGCATAGTTTAGCTTAGCTTAGCGCAGCATAGCGCAGCGCAGCATTAGCGCAGCATAGCATAGCATAGCATAGCCAAGCATATCGTAGCATAGCATAGCATAGCTCAGCATAGCATAGCACAGCATAGCGCAGCATAGCATATCATAGCATAGCATAGTATTGTCTAGCATAGCACAGCGCAATATAGCATAGCATAGCACAGCATAGCATAGCATAGCACAGCATAGCAAAGCATAGCATAGCGTAGCATAGCATAGCGCAGCATAGCATATCATAGCCTAGCATAGCATAGCATAGCGCAGCATAGCATAGCATATCATAGCATAGCGCAGCATAGCATAGCATAGCATAGCATAGCATAGCATAGCATAGCATAGCATAGCATAGCTAGACGCTCCAACTCCTAGGTAGGGTCTCACTGGGATAATCATCATCACAATCAGTATCAGCACACCGACATAATCGTTATCGTCACCATCAGCAGCAGCATCAGCAGCACTAACATCATGAGTACCACCATCACCATCATCGTCGTCATTGTCGTCATCGTCATGATCATCATCATCATCATCATCATCATCATCATCATCATCATCCTCATCACCATCATCATCATCATCACCATCACCATCATCATCATCATCATCATCATCATCATCATCATCATCATCATCATCATCATCATCACCATGACCATCATCATCATCATCGTCAGCATCAACAGCATGATCATCATCAGCAGCAGCATCCCCCTCTTCCTCCTTGTTCCTCCGTTTTTGTGCCCCCCTCTGGGCCATCCTCCCCGATTTCCCGCCCGAAGGCCAGACGATCGTGCAGGAGGGCGCTTTCGGTGACCGGTTCGTCATCGTCAACTTCGGGACCCCCGCGCGAGGAGAGTTCAAGGAGCGAGTAGAAGGAGGAGGAGAGGAGGAGGAGGAGGAGGAGGAGGAGAGGAGGAGGAGGAGGAGAAGAAGGAGGACGAGGAGGAGGAGGAGGAGGAGGAAGGAGGAGGAGGAGGAGAAGCGAGGAGAAGAAGGAGGAGGAGGAGGAGAGAAGGAGGAGGGAGGAGGAGGAGACAGGAGACATTCATAGTGCGGCATGATGCTCTCCCACAAAAGGCTTGTGCCGATATGGGACGGCACATGTTCCGCTTGATCTCCCGCATGCTTTCTCGTATGATGTCCCGCATGTTCTCCCGTACGATATCCTGCATCGGTTCCCGTATGGCTTCCCGTATGTACAGTGCAGCATGACCTCCTCTTTTTCCCAACATCCATGCGTAGGGTTCTCATTTTGAATACAGTCGGGTCCTTGAGGAAGGAACCCTTTTCGTTGGGGAGGGGCTCCGTGTTCCTTAACTGTTTCACAGCTTGCCTCAGGGTTTCCTTATGTTTTCGATGGGAAATCGAAGTTCAATTTATAGGAAAAAGGGGCCTCGTTCCTTCTTTATCGTTCCTTAGGTCAACGCCCCGACTGTAGAGCACTGCGGTCGCACACCCCCTCCTCCTCTCCCTCCTCCGTGTTCCTCCCTCCTTCTCTCCTCCTGCCGTCTGCCTCCTCCTCCCTGCGCAGCCCCCGCGGGTGGCAGCAAACAGTGCCACTGGCGCCACTTCCGCGCGCTCCCGGGAGGCACGGCGGAGTGGCGGAGTACCCCCCTGGGTGGTTGCGAATCGCGCATGTGTCGCCACTTTCGCGCGCTCCTGGGAGGCACGGCGGAGGAGCGGAGTACCCCTGGATGGTTGCGAATCGCGCCTCTGTCGCCATTCGAGTGGGCTCCTGGGAGGCACGGCGGAGCAGCGGGGCACGCGCATCCAGACGGGATTCCGCAGCTCCTTGGGTGGCTGCGAGCTGTGCAATTGTCGTCGCTTTCGTGGGCTCCTGGGGGGGGGGGGGGCACGGCGAAGTAGCGGAGTTGCTGGGACTTCGCTGCCCCTTGGGTGGCTGCGAACTGTACAACTGTCGCCATTGTCGCGGGCTCCTGGGAGGCACGGCGGAGTAGCGGAGTAGCCGAGACCTCGCAGCTCTTTGGGTGGTTGCGAATCGCGCATGTGTCGCCTGTTCCGTGGGCTCCTGGGGGGCACGGCGGAGTAGCGGAGTACGCGCATCCAGACGGGACTTCGCAGCTCTTTGGGTTTGTGCGGATGCGCAGTTGTCGTCGTTTTCGTGGGCTCTTGGAAGGCACGGCGGAGTAGCGGAGTAGCCGAGACCTTGCAGCTCCTTGCGTGGATGCGAATTGTGCAACTGTCGGCGGAGTAGCGGAGTAGCGGAGTAGCCGAGACCTCACAGCTCCTTGGGCGGTTGCGATTTGCGCATATGTCGCCTGTTCTGTGGGCTGCTGGGTGGAACGGCGGAGTAGCGGAATCCGCGCACCCAGGCGGGACTTCGCAATGCTTTGGGTGGCTGCGAACTGCGCAGCTGGCGGCACCTTCGTGGGCTCTGGGGAGGTCGAGCGGAGCCGGGGAGCACGCGCACCCAGACGGGACCTCGCTGCTCCCTGGGCGGCCGCGAACTGCGCAGTTGTCGCCATTTTTTCGTGGGCTCATGGAACGCACGGTGGAGTTGGAGAGTGCGCGGACCCAGACGAGACGTCGCTGCTCCCGCGTGGCCGCGAACTGCGCAATTGTCGTCATTTTCGTGGGCGCATGGGAGGCACGGTGGAGTCGGAGAGTATGCGGACCCAGACGAGACGTCGCTGCTCCCGCGTGGCCGCGAGCTGCGCAGTTGTCGTCATTTTCGTGGGCGCACGGGAGGCACGGTGGAGTCGGAGAGTATGCGGACCCAGACGAGACGTCGCTGCTCCCGCGTGGCCGCGACCTGCGCAGTGGTCAGTTTCGTGGGCGCACGGGAGGCACGGTGGAGTCGGAGAGTGCGCGGACCCAGACGAGACGTCGTTGCTCCTTGGGCGGCCGCGAACTGCGCAACTGTCGTCAGTTTCGTGGGCGCAGGGGGGTTCGAGCGGAGCCGGGGAGTGCGCGCACCCAGACGGGACCTCGCTGCGCCCCGGGTGGTTGCGAACTGCGTGGCTGGCGCCACGTTCGCGGGTTCCTGGAAGGTCGAGCGGAGCCGGGGGCCACGCGAGCACGGGGCCTCGCTGCTCCTGGGAGGTCCAGCGGAGCAGAGTGTCCCTCGCAGACGGCATCCATACACCACTACCCTGGCTGGCAAGGGCCGTCCTTGGCCCCACGATGGCGTATAGACCCTCCTGGCCTCAGCCAGGAGGCGTGTTCACCGTGCATGGGCACGGGATGGCCCTGGCCAGACACGGTGGTGGCGTGTTTCCTTGCAACGTGTTCTTTTGTATGGAGCGTTCCTTGGAATAGTCGGCTCGCGTTGAGAAAGGGGTGGATACGTCTCGGTAAACATGACATTGTGCTCTTGAGGGATAAGTCGGGCATGTCCCTCTACAGGAGGAATACTCGAGAATGGTCAAAAAATAGTCCGTGGACGATGTCTCGCGCTTTCCTGCCTGTGGTTGGTAATTTGTTGTGTTACCAAAAACAAACAACAACAACAACAACAACAACAACAACAACAACAACAACAACAACAACAACAACAACAACAACAACAACAACAACAACAACCACAACAACCACAACAACCACAACAACAACAACAACAACAACAACAACAACAACCATAACCACAACAACCACAACAACAACAACAACAACAGCCACAGCAACAACAACAACAACAACAAAACACACACACACACAACAAACAAAAAAAAAAAAAAAAAAAAAAAAAAAAAAAAAATCCAGGATCCGCCTGTAGAAGGACGTGCCCGACCTAAGTTTAGCGCCTTCTGCCGCATGGGTGCACCTTGTGGCCGTTGCCTTGTTGTCCGGGGGGGGGCGGGGCGCATGCAGAGGCCTCCGAGGACCTCCAGAGCAGAGGAGGCCTTCGCAGGCCACCGGAGACGAAGAGCCGAAGGGAGGGCACGAGGACGGGGAGAGGTCCTCGCGGCGAGGTCGCCGTCGTGTTCCTCGCCGAGATTCGGGGGTCAAGGTTTCCATAGTGAGGCCCGTCGTCGCCGGGGCTGGATCCCCATCGAAGTCCGAGCCCAAACGCATCCCTTGAGAGGTTTGGGGGCCGATTTAGGAGGTGGGGTCGTCGCCGCCGTCGTCAGCGTCGTCGTCAGCGCCGTCGTCGAGTTCGTCGTCGTCGCTGTGGAGGGCAGTGGTTGTTCTTTCCTGTGTTACTTCTTGCGCACGTGTTGGGGAGGTGCTCCCATGCCCCTTTCATTTCACAGGGACGAAACGTCAGCCCGACACTGACAAAAAGCACGTCGAGTACGAAATCAGCCGTGCGCAGCTGCTTTCGGACCCGCCGCTGGGCGCGTTGCCTCCGTGACGCGGCGCCTCCCAGCTCCGGGAGGCGCCGGGAAACCCGCTGCGTGGGCTGTCTCGCTGACCCGCCCTCGTCGGCGGCGCCCACACGGGGGTGGCGCGAGGGGTGCGGCATTCGAAAAATGTGGGGGGGGGCTTCTGGGAAGGGCTGGGGGGACTTCTGGGAAGGGCCAGGGGGGGGCGTCTGAGAAGCCCTCTTCGAAGCCAGGCGGGATCCTCGGAAGCCCCCTCTGCCTTCGCAGAAGCCCGGCCGCCTCTTGAGAAGCCCCACCCCCTCGCGCCGCCCGCCCTAGTGATAGTGGGCGCCGCCAGTCTTACTAGCCCCCCTGCTTCGTCCGACCCGAGTCGACGTCGGCCCCGCCTTCGAGGATCGAAGGGGCTGCCATCTCTCCCTCGGCGGAAGGTCGGCGGAAGTAAAGGATTGAAGTACAACGGGGGCGACTCCGCCGGCGGAAGCTGGCGGACGGCCGGCGGAAGTAAGAGATGTGTGTGAGTGTGCGCGTGCGCGTGCGTGCGCGTGCGCGTGTGCGTGTGCGTGTGCGTGTGCGTGTGCGTGTGGGTGTGGGTGTGGGTGCGGCCTGGCCGCGACCCCGCGCTTCCTGCTCTTACTGACTCCGCCTTGCCGCCGCGCGCGAGGGCGCTACCGCCAAAAAGCGTGTGGGTGTGTGCGTGCCTGCGTGCGTGTGCGTGTGTGTGTGTGAAGTTGAGTGTCTGTGTGTGTGTTGTGTGTTGGTGTGTTGTGCTTGTGCTTGTGTTTGCGTTTGTGTTTGTGTTTGTGTTTATGTTCGTGTTCGTGTTTGTGTGTGGTTTGTATTTGTGATTGTGTGTGATTGTGTTGGTGCGTCTGTCCGTGTGCGCGTGTATACGTGTGCGCGTGCGTGCCTGCGTGGATGCGTGCGTGCGTGCGTGCGTGTGTGTGTGTGCGTGTATGTGTGAGTGCGTGTGCGTGTGCGTGTGCGTGTGCGTGTGCGTGTGTGTGGTGTGTTGCGGTGTGGTGTGGAGTGGTGTGGTGTGGTCTTTGTGTCTTGTGTATGTGCTGTTTGTGTTGTGTGCGTGTGTGTTTGTGCGTGCGTGGTTGTGCGTGTGTGTTTGCGCATGTGTGTTTATGTGTGGGTGCGTGTGTGTGTGTGTGTGATGGTCACTTTGCGGTGCTGGCTCATGGGTCAACACCCTACCAATATGCCTCGCAGGACTGCTGGTTTGGCCACAACACCAATCTGCCTAGCAGCACTTATCATTTGCGTTTCAATGCCTCAATCCGCTCTGGTGACTCAGTGGCCACAATTAGCCCAGGGCTGTCGCGCTTCAGCTCAATTGAGTTGAGTGCTCTCCTCGTTTTCTTGCCGCTGCATGTTTCGTTTGGATATACAGATCCTCTTGTTCACCCATCGCTTGCATGCTGCAGTGTGCGACGCTTGTACGCTGCGCTATCGACAATGCTCGGTCGCAGTTAGCACTTTCATCTGCTGCTTGCGCCTGAGGACCCTCTGCGCCGCTGGTTAAGAAGAGTGTGTGTGTGTGTTTGTGTGTGCGCATGTGTGCATGTGTGAATGTGTGCACGTGTGCATGTGTGCATGTTTGAATGTGTGCACATGCGTGTGCACGTGTGTGCGTGTCTGTGTCTGTGTGTGTGTTGTGCATATGCGTGCCTGCGTATCTGCTTGTCTGTGTGCCTGTGTGCGTCTGGGCCCCCCGAAGAGAAATTGCAACGTGTTCGGGCTCCGGGTTTCGTCCATCGGCCACGCCGCCGCCGTCCTGGTCGTCGGCGTCGCCGCCTGCGCCGCAGGACCGCCCGCGTGGAGGCCATGGGCCAGCGCCTCCCCGAGCCTCGGCGCGGCGGCGCCCGCGCCGGCTACGGGATGCTGTGCAGGAGCTCGAGCTTCACCAAGGAGCAGCGCCAGGGGGGAGGTGGGCGAGCGCCAGGAGGGAGGGGGAGGAGGAGGAGGAGGAGGAGGAGGAGGAGCGCCAGAGAGGGAGGGAGGAGGAGGAGGAGGGGGAAGACCAGAGCGTCGAGGCAGCGCAAACACGGAGAGGAAGATTCGGGGAGTTCCCATTTCCGTGCAGGGTCGGCGCGCTCCGTCGCCAAATCAGGCGGCAGGAGCCTCAGGTTTCGTGAGCGCCCTCCCCGATCCACGGATCTGGCACACACTCGCCAGATTCACGGATCCTTGACCCATGCCAGCGCATGCCCGAGAGCACACCAAGGATGCATCGACGATGTTTCGAGACACCCTCCCATTCGGCGGCAGGCGAGGGGGGGGGGGGAAGCAGAAGGCCTTCCCGGCAGGCGGCGGGATTTCTCAGAGATCCGCGCGCTTTCTGCGCGAAGTGTGCGGTGTTCCCGGGGAAAGCTTAGAAAACCTGTCAGCAGGCGGGGGGACTTCCGAGCCCTCTGAGGAGGCCCGTCGGAGGCGACGCGGGGGGCGACTAGATCAGGGGAGAGCATTGCACGTACCTCTCCGGAAGCCTCGCTGAAGACGTGGATCATCCGCGCCCCTGGAGCCATGTATTGCTCCCCCCCGAGCTCTTCGCCCTTTTCGTCGCCTCCGAGCCCGCCCCTTTCAGACCAGGGGGCTAGAACGGGGTCAGATCTGGGTGGAAAATCGCAGAGTAGGGCGTCCAAACCAGAGGTCCCAGGCCGCCAGGATGTTAGACCAGGGGCCCAGAACGGAGTCGGATCCGGGCGGGAAATTGCAAGATGAGGGGTCCTCAAACCAGAGATCCCACGCCGCCAAGATGTCAGACCTGTGGAAATGGCAGGAACGGGGGCCAGATGTCAGATGCCGAACGGGGCCTGATCGGGGCGGAAAATGTCTGCGTGGGAATCCTCAAACCAGAGGTCCCAGGCTGCCAGCCCAGGGGGCCCGAACGAGGTCGGATCCGGGCGGGACACTGCCGGGTGGGGGACCGTCGCACCAGAGGCCCCAGGCCGCCGGGATGTCAAACCACGGGGCGAGGACGGGGTCGGATCCGGGCGAAAAATTATTGGGTGGGGTGCCCCCAAACCAGAGGCCCCAGGCCGCCAGGCTGTCAGACCAGGGGGATAGAACGGGGTCGGACCCGGGCGAAAAATACAGGCCGCCAGGACGTCAGACCAGAGGGCGTGAGCGAGGTCTGCTGCGGCAAGAAGAATTGCAGCGTGAGGTGGTCCTCAAAGCAGAGGCCCCAGGCCGCCAGGGTGTCAGACCCGGGGGCTGGAACGGGGTCGGGTCCGGGCGGGAAACTGGGGGGCGGGGGGTCGAGGCGAGAAGTTGTCGGGGGGGGGTCCCGAGAACAGGATTCCAGAGGGTCGAGTGTGCTGGGGCGTGGCCGGGGCGCGGGTGCAAACGGAAAGATTGGAGTGCATCAGGAGGCATAGTGTCTCACGAAGAAGAACGTCGCACACGCCTCATGGGGTCTGTGCATCATCATCGTCATCCTCATCATCATCAACATCATCATCAGCAACAGCATCAGCATCAGCATCAGCACCATCAGCAGCATCATCACCAGCAGCAGCAAAAGCAGCAGCAGCAGCATCATCAGCATAATCAGCATCAGCAGCAGCAGCATCTTCATCATCAGCATCATCAGCATCATATTCCTTTTCATCAGATTCATCAGCATCAGCATAATCATCAGCAGCAGCAGCAGCATCGTCATCATCGTCATCAGCACCAGCATCATCATCATCATCATCAGCAGCAGCAGCAGCAGCAGCATCATCATCCTCGTCCTCGCCCTCATCCTCGTCCTCCTTGTCCTTCTCGCCCTGTCCCTGGTCTTCGAGCGCCCACCGAGGAGAAGTACCACGTCTCCGTCACCGCCGAGACGATGTGCCAGGCCGCAGGGCCGCCCGAGCCAAGGGCGCCATCTTGATGGCCTTTTTGGTCGCTTTGGGGGCCTCTTGGACAGTCTTGGGACTTGGGACTCTCTTCGGCCGTCTGCGGACCCTCTTTGGCCACCTCTGGGCCCCCTTCGGAGCCTCTTCGGCCGTCTTGGGCTGGTCTAGGGGCTTCTCGGGCCGCCTCGGACTTTCATGACCCTGAAGGGGCGATAGTGCCAAAATTGCTTACAAACACATGGGAAACCAATGATGTCTGCCTCTTGGGGCCGTCTTGTAGGCCCTCTGGGGGCCCAGGAGGTGGGCTGGGGAACTCGGAGACTCACCCACCCGCCCAACATCCCTCCCCCCCACCCACGCCCTCGTCAGCCCCACCCCAAACCTCCCCACTCCCCTGGAGCAGGAAGTTGGACCCCAGGAGAGGGGGGCAGCCAAATGTTTCACAAGCCTTTTCACACCTGGCAGGAAGGGGTCGGCGAACAAGGATAGAACGCGGGTGGTTGCCAAAGTCGGGCTATCGCTAGAGTTTATTATATGATCGCATGTTGAACATCTTGCAGTGGCTTCATGGATAGAGGACGATTCCTTTCCAGAATGAGCGCTCGCTTGAGAGTTCTTCGAGTAAGCTGTGTAACGGCCACATGGGCGGAGGCCAGGTTTCTAAATCCAGTGGGGGTCGTTGGACATCATGTTGTATTTTATTTCCCTAACCAGTGATCCCGTTGAAAGCTCGAAAATGACCGTCGGTTCGTTTTCAGAGCGAGGCTCTTGATTAAATGACAAGCCCAATAAGATCTCGTAGTCTAGAGGAGTGCTTACGTTGGAGTTATGATGAGGGTACTTGGGACGGGACATTGTATTGCAGTATCGTTGATGCGCCCCTTGCCTTACACCCATCAGAAATCCCAAGGAAACGTGCCAATGCTCATGGGCGCCAGATTTCGTTGAATCAGGAATCTGGGCTGGACCCTGGGCGCGTTCTTGGAGCACTGTGTTGCGTGGGGTGCTCTTGCACAACAGGACCTGGACTGCTGCTTCAAAAAACGCTTGGGGTGGGGCCGAGTTTCTCAACTCAAAGGGTCCGTAAACTCTGAGCCGGGGGGGGTACACACCTCCCCCCCGCTCGACGCGGAATTCTTCCACGTCCGAGCGTTCCTTCCCCCCTCCCTCCCACCGCGCGGCCGCCTTCGTCCTTGTCCCTCCCTTGCACACTCGCGAATTGGCCATTCGGTTGCCCCGAGCTGCCACACGCTGGAGCGGACTGCACCTGCCTCGCCGCCGACGGCAATAGTGTACACCTCCTCCTCCTCCTCCGCCCCGCGTCCCCTCTCTCCTCCTCCTCATCTTCCTCCTCC